GCCCCGCTCCCCGCACATGCTTCTGGCCCCGCCCTTGCCCATGCTTCTGGCCCCGCCCCCTGCCCTGCCCCAGCCACTCCCGCTCAGAACCTGTTCTTACTGATCCAGCAGCTCCCCCCCCCCGCACCTGCTTGTACTGCTCCAGCAGCTGCTCCTCCATGCCGCGCTGCACATCAAGCAGCTCCAGCTCCTCGCGGCTCAGCAGCCGCCGCGCGGTCGCAAAGTCGTCGAGGCGCTTCATGTAGTTGGCGACGCGCTTGGAGCCGGGGCGCCCCGTCAGCTCGGACAGGGGGTGCCTGCGGCGGCGGGGATGTATGGTTGTGTGTGTGTGTGTGTGTGTGAGTGCACATGTGTGTGTGTGTGTGTGTGTGTGTAAGTGTGGGTGATGTCAGCTGGGTGCAGGTGAGAGGCTGCGGGATGCTGCTGCCAACCGTGCACATTCACAAATACAAACGTGCGCGGAGCGGCAGACACCACGCGTCGCAGCCCCCGCCCGCCCAGGGGCGCACCAGCTGCAGTGGATGTAGGCGCGCCACCGCCACTTGATCAGGAACTCGCGGCCTGCCCAGCCCGCGGCGGCGGCGGCCTGAGGGGCGCCCCCTTCGCCCGCCAGGGGCGCCTCCGCGTCCCTGTGAGTACGGGCATGCGGCGCGGCGCGGCCGGTTGAGCTCGGCCGGCCGGCTCATCTCTGCGTGGCCGACTCATCTCGGCGCGGCCGACTCATCTCGGCACAGCCCTTGTCAGCACAAGCGGAGCCGGCGGAGCAGCCGCAGCGCTAGCAGATCCCAGCGCGTCTGCAGCGGCGCCCTGCGCACCCGCCGCTTGGAAGAGGGCAGCCCCGCTCGCACCTGTGCGCCACGACGCGCTCAATCTCCTCATCCAACTCGTCCGTTTCGTCGAGCGCCGCAATCGGCTCCCGCTGCCGCCCGCCACCACCGCCGCCACCGCCGCCAGACCCGTCGCTGCCGCTGTCGCTGCTCTCCGCGTAGGACACGCCCCGCGCCGCCGCCCGGCTGCTCGCCGCGCGCCGCGGCTGCCGGCCGCCGCCAGCTTTCTGCGCCGGGGCGCCGCCGCGCGAGCCGCTGCGTTGCCGGCCGCCGCCGCTGCCGCCGCCACCGCTTGCAGAGCGGGCGGCTGCGCGGCGGGTGGGCGAGCTGATTTGCGCGGCCGCAGCCGCCGCCGCGGCGCCAGGAAGCTTCACCTGCAGTGGGGCCAGCACGACCAGCCAGCATTCGGCAAGCAAACCTCTCGACTCCCATGAACACAACCCCGGCTGCGACACAGAGGGTTGACTCCAGCGCGGTCAGGCGGAGGCTGCAGGCGCCGGCTCACGCTGCCAGGCCCGCCCCAGGCGCCGCCCCGCGCGCACCCACCCGCCAGCGCCGCGCCCTCAGCCCGTTGAGCTCCTCCTGCATCTGCCGCGCGAGCCGCTCGTCCTCGTCGCTGCCGCCGCCCCGAGCATTCCGCCGCCCCGCCCCACCGCCGCCGCGCTGCTGCTCCTCCTCCCGCCCGGACGTGGCCCCATAGTCAGGCAAGCCGCCGTTTGAGAAAGCAGCGTCGTCGCCCTCGTCGCGCGCGGACCGCTGTGGTCGGGCGTGCGGTGGGGATCGGAGGGGGGGGGGGACTATTTGACATGCACCCGGTCCGCCGCTCAAGCACCACATGACCAGCTGGGCTTTCAGCATGCACCGATGAGTCAGGCGCTGCACGACCATGCCAGGCTGCTTTGTCTGGAGGTCGCAGCCATGACCTGCCGGTCCCCAGCAGAGGCCGCGAAGCGCACCTTGATCCTCTGGCTGGCCTGCGCAGCAGCCTGCCGCCTCGGCCGTCCCCTTGCGGCTGCGATGGCCTGTGCGTTGGCCTCCTCCTCGTCCTCGTCATCCTCCTCCTCCTCCTCGCTGCTGTCGTCTGGCGCGCTCTCCTCGCTGCTGCTGCCGCTGTCGTCGTCCTCCTCCTCATCGCTGCTGCTGCGGCGCCGCTTCCGCGCCTGGCAGACAAAGTACGGCGTTTGGGGTCGGGCCCGACCCGGTCAAACGCGTTCGTGCCCCGGTCAAACGCCAGCGGCTGCAGTCAACCGAGCACTATGTTGGGCTGACGGTTGTCAATATTATCAGTTGCCAAACAGCTACAGCCCCACGGGCGGCGCGTGCGACTCACCGCTGCAGCTCGCTTGACAGGCCGCTTGGCCGGTGTGCTCCTGCCCCCTTTCCCTGCCGCCGGCGCCCGCGAGCGGCCGCCGCCGCCGCCGCCTGCTGTGCCCACACGCTTGGCTTTGGACTTTTTCTTGGCCCCAAAGTCACTGTCGTCGCTGTCGTCTGCCTCCTCGTCATCCAAGTCCTCGTCAGAGGCATCCGAGGCATCTGCGGGCAAGCGAAGAGCCAGGCGCCGCCGGCAGGCAGTGCGCTGGGAAGGCGCGCGGCTGGGTGACGCTCGGCGCGCTCTGGCGCGTGGCTGTGGGTCCGGGCCGCTGCCGGTGGCCCCATGACCTGTTCAGGACGTGCACCGTGTTACATGCCCCCATATCCCCGGCAGTGCACGTATGACAGCCGCTGATATGGAGATTTCGAGCCCAACGAAGCAGTTGTCGCCTTATGCCTTTTGCCTCAATCCTTGATGTCCTTTCCCACCTGGCCGCCAATCTCGGGCATCATCACGATCCCTGTTGGTATGGCATCGACGCATTTGGGAGCGTGATCCTGGCTCCCTGCATGTGTGCAAGCACTGCTGCAGCCCCAGATAAGCCCTCTCACCCCTTGCTCTGTTCGTCGTCTTCATCCCCCAGATTATCGTAGTCTTCGTCCTCCATGGACCTTAGAAGCCCCGCCAGGCCCTCAAAACCAGAACGATCTTGCCTCAGCTGCGAAAGCGGCTACAATCCGTCATTCTTGGCTATGTATGATGCAGTGCGAGCACCAATGCGATGGTCGTGCTACGATAGGGAGGGCTGCGCGCGCGTTTAGGTAGAGAGAGGTACTAATGGTCATTTTGTCACTGATGCAGCACTTCACACGCGATGCAGCACTTCAGGGTGGCTGCTGTGCTCGGCCTGAATGTTGCGGCGTGCACGTAATCAGTGATATCACCAAGTTCACATACGTACTGTACAGTGGCGATCTAGAAGTGGTCGCACAGGAGCGCTCCGGCACTTGCAAGTCCCGCAGAACACACTGCACGACCAGCCTCTGTTTCTCTGAGCGTGTTCTTAACAGTATTGCACTGGCGAAGGACACACGGCCTCCGTGGTACGCGCCACCTGCACGCAAGGGGCGGCGGCAGGGAGTGGCGCGCTGCGCGGCTGATCACTGGTGACGGCAGGCAGTTTCAAGCCGCTGCCCCGACGTGCCAGCGGCCGCTGGCGGCAAAAAAACCAGGCATGAAGGTCGTCGCACTAGTCAGGTGTGCGACGGCGGCTTCGCAGCGCTCCTTCCGGGGCCGAGGCTGGACTGCATGCAGAGACTGAAAGACCCCGGCTTCAAATCCACCACTGGCGCATGCCTTTTGCATGCAGTGGCGGCAAGGACTCATGCTATAGCATGCTGCGCTGCACTCATCACGGCCACACGGTGAGCCCAGGGCGTCTCGAACGCAGCCATGCGCGCCCTCTGCCTGCCGCGTGCAGGCGGCGCGGCCCCAACTGAGGGCGGCAGGCCCCAACTCAAGACCGTCATCTCACCCCTCGCACTCGCCATGCGCGGCCCCAGGTGGTCGCCCTGGCCAATCTACTGCCGCCGGACGCTGATGTGGACGAGATGGACAGCTACATGTACCAGACTGTGGGCCATCAATTGGTCGAGGCCTACGCCGCCTGCACCGGGCTGCCCCTGTACCGCCGCCGCGTCGCAGGCGGCGCCAAGAGCCAGGTGATTGAGGGGGGTGGCCGGAGCGTCCGCGGCGCCGCCGCCGACGGGGCCCAGGGCGTGAGGGGCGCGGCTTTTATACGGACAAGGGCGGCTGGTGCGGCCTGCCGGCGTTCCGACAGCGAAGAGGCGCCGCGTGCGCCGGCTACCCGCCCCGGCCCAACCCCAGGGCCTGACGTACAGCGAGACGCGCGGGGACGAGGTGGAGGACCTGTATGCACTGCTGGCTTACGTAAAGGTGACTAACTGTGTGCCTCCCACGCGGTTGCATGATGACACGGCGTGCATCCTAGCGGATCGCTGGATTGTGAAGTTGCTAAGGGCTGCAGTCACCTCAGGGGCGGCACGCACTGCACCTACGTGTAGGCGGCGTCAGCCGCCCGCAGCAGCTCGCGGCCGACCGAGCCGCCCCAGTCTGCCCTGCGCATGCATCCGACGCAATGCCCTGAGTCAGCCCGCCGCGACGCCCTTCCGCGGCCTGCGCATGCCCCGGCCGCGCCCCGCCCCACGCGGCGCAGGCTCGCCACCCGGACGTGGGCGCCGTCGCGTCGGGCGCGATCGCCTCGGACTACCAGCGGCTGCGCGTGGAGGACGTCTGCTCCCGCCTGGGCCTGGTGTCGCTCGCCTACCTGTGGCACCTTCCGCAGGAGCAGCTGCTCAGGTGCACGGGCTCCCAATGGGCGACACCTGGAGGAGGGGCCCCCTCACCAC